GACCCGTTCTGAGCACACTCCCATCCACCAAAATCGCCATTTCAGCTGAGTTTTGTCGCGAAAACAGAGCTTCGGTGCCACACCCTGAAATGCAAATCCCAATGGCACGGCCACATCCAACACCCCAAAACACGACTCTCCAAATGCTAATCCCAATGGAGCTGCGCAGCAAACTGCGGATCTCACAAAACGCTGCGCCGCTATTTCACACGAATCTGACACGTCACGTTTTCATCCGAAACCCTCTCCAAAAGCTTCCCCCAATGGCAGCGCCTTAGCGCTCTACTGCGGACGGTTGCGAACGGTTGCGGACGGTTGCGAACTTAGAAACAACGGGCCGCGCTCTACCTCCAGACCCCCTCAGAGTTAAACGAGAACCCTTCGCTCCGCATTCGGGAAAAAAACAGATTCTACTCACAAGACTCGGTAGGAAGATCTCCCCTGTTTCCGGTGTTACATCGCCAGATTTGTCCGGCGCCACGCGCGGAAGACGATGCATCGACTGAGTCTGTCGTCGACTGTCTGTCTACAGTCACTGGGGGTTGCTTGGGTCACATCGGTTTGGTGTCCAGGGTCCAAGGTGTAGTACTCGGCATCAGTGATGGCATAGATGTCCGGCAGGTACAAGGCCATGGCCAGCATGCAGAACATGATACACCTCAGGACGTCTGTCACCGTCACACCGTCAGGCCCATCTCACCACTGCCCTATAGCCATATTTTCGAGCGATCGTCAGACCCCAGTTGTCCTCTTTTAGCAGGTCTTAAGGGGCTTGCTTTTGAGACGGATTGGTCAGTTTTGTCTCGGAACTATGTACTTTTGCGGAAAACCAGGCCCTTTGTCTCCTCATCCTTCAAAGAAGCTCTTACAACAACCAACCATTGACAGCTCCACTCCACCATACCTTTCAGAAATATCTGCGAAAGCATGGTAAGAGCTTTGGTGCGGTCAGGCTTACCAATATGCGGCATGCCAAAGATTCAGAAAGTTTCCCATCGTCTTCAAGCTGAAAGGAGCTTTCTTATCGTCCGTCACGGAGAAATGCTCATCTCCAAAACGGCCAAGTTGCTGAAATGCATTGCTTTCGAAGATCTTGCGGGACTTGGCAGGCATCCAGTTGAAAATCAAGGGTCCTGAGTGGAATTGCCGCACAGGACCAAGTCTATTGAAGTAACAAATGATGATTGGATTTCCCTGTCGAGTGGTGGTTTCCAAACATATGTCATAGTCAAATGTGCAAAAAATCAAGCATAATTATTTACAATGTTGAGGTCTCTGTAAAACATCCAAAATGGGTACATGGACCACAACAATGAATGACATTCAATAACTAATGAAAGGGCAGGCCTGGCACTGCCGTATGCCAAGACTTTCCGGGCACAAACCGCAAATTTATGCAAATTTCCTCACCCAGGCACGCTGGAGATTCTGCATGAAAGAGCCTCCAAACGAGCCCTCCTGATGCTCATCGAGTGTTTCTGTCGTCTCTGTGTGTTCGCCCGCAAAAAGCGTGCGCAGTTTCTTTCGAAACTACAGACACTTTCTTCGCTACCGCGGCACTTCTACAAAGCTACCGCGGCACGGGAGAGATCGATTCAAGGCGATGTCATGTCTGTCAATTGTTTGCATTGTTCGTTTCGACCATGAATCGGAAATCAATTCATTGAATCGAATCAGTCGGTCGATTCCGGGCTTCGGAAGATCAGATCGCGTCGACCGGTTCCGGTTCCGCGGTGTCCTCGGGATCCTTGGGACTGATGCTGCGCATAAATGAGATACTCCGGCTGCTCGGTGAGCGAGGATGATTCGGCCTGGGCGGGAGGCGAAAACACCCGATGAATTCGACGGTGCGCGGTGAAAACGAGTACGGCGGCTTTAGGTCGCCGTCATTCGTACCAGATACTTTTGGGGATGCATTGGATGTGTTTGGAACACTTTTTTTATGGTATTGGGCTAGACTCTCAACTGGTTCTTCCTTATCATTGTAATTGATGCAAACATTGTTTGGCTCTAGGGACGTGTTCGTACCCTTTTTGTATATCATTGTCCCATATTCTCCCAGTTCAATGCAAATTAAATGGATCTTGTTTGACAGCGAAGCCAACCTGCGCAACATGTTTTCAGTGCATGACATGTAATGACCTCTGGTGCAATGCTTTGGGACACGACTTGATGGAACTTTCACTTCGGACCACCAGCGACCTGAAACAAGGCGGCGGTCACGTGATTTCGGCGCTGAAACGAACTGGGAGGTTTTGTTAAGCAGAAGGCAGAAGCAAATGGCCACTTCAAAAAACGGAGCAGAGGCAGCCGGTGCAGTGCTGCTGCTGATCGAGGCAGCCGGCTTCTCTCTGGTGGCGCAGCTCTCGCAGCTCTCGCTGCGCGCGCTGCGCGCGCTGCGGTGGAGCTGCGGAGATCTGCCCGACGTCACGGACGTGATCGATATTCTCCTCACAGGACTTGGGGCGCTACTGCCTCAGTTCGCGGGAACGTCTTCGTCTTCGTCGACGTGTGTCTTGGACCGATGTGAGGCAAGGCACCAGGGGGCCGCACCAGGTGAGGCCAGTTGCTCTAAAGTTGTTACAGTAGATGATTCCATGTTGATTCTGAATCTGGTTTGAGGTTTGAGGTTTTCAGGACATCTCTGAAATCCTCGCAAATTCAGCAACTCGGCTTCCGCGTTTCTTCTCCATCTTTTTACACTCAGGATCACTGGCAGTGTATACACGTCCGATCCTTCGGTCTAACCACAGGAGGTGAAACACAGCTTCTTCGCGTTGGGTCCCTTTCGGGTCATTAGTGGCGCGCCACGGCACCGGACGGTTTCGGCTTCGGCGCCGGTGAGGTGCGGTGAAAGGGTTCCGGTGAAGGCCGAGCCGCTCTCGGAGAGTCTCAGATTGGAGACGGCCTTGTGCACGTTCTCCCTGGGTTGGCACGTGGGCCAGCTGTAGCGCCAGCTGGGCAAGGAATCTGTTTCTCTTATCTGTATTATAGACTGAGTTTAAAGGAATGTCACAAAGGAGGACAATATTGCAAACCCATCGTGTGGGGTGGTTTAGGACTTGACCTTGCATTCCGTGATCAAAATCCATCCTTCTCATCCAAATCGATCCTCCATCTTCCACATCCGTCGATCCCATCGTCGAGCCGTCCGCAGTCCGCGGTGCCTTAGCACCTCAACGATTTCCCAATCCGTGCCAAGCTGAACCTCAGCTGCGGACCGTCGCACAAGCCGCCGATCGTCTGCCGTGTGTGCGGCACGTGCGTGTGTGCGCGGCACGCACCTGCGAAGTCAGCCAGGGGGGTTCGAAGCAGCCATACGCAGCCAAGATCAAGCGAATATGGGGTATACCATGCTCACAAAGAAAGAATGCTCCCTCAAGCAAAAAGGACAACATCATTCAGATTTGACATACTTCAGGTCTCTTCATGTGTATGCCATGGTTGGGATCTATATTCTTTGACAGCGACGCCGGAGTCGACCATCTGCCACGTACCGCGGTAAGCGCCGCGTGCGGTGCGCCGCGTCACCGCCGTGTCGATGGAACTGGCGCCACTGGAGTCCTAGTGGAACGGCGCAGGACTCGTGGATCGGAGGGAGTGGACTCGCTCGGCTTGGCTCAGAAATGAAGAAACGATTGGATAGAAGAGGATGGATGGATTGATTCCTTGAGAATGGAATTGAATTATTCTTAAAATATGATGATAGAATATGGATGGAGTGATTCCTTGAGAATCACTTACTTGGGGGCAAATTCTCCGAGAATTGGATGAAGACTTGAACACTTGAGAATGAATAGATGAACTCCCTTGGGTTCATGTGGAAGCCATTCTTAAACTCTCTAAGGTTCATTAAAGCCATTCTTGATTCATTCAATTTCTTGAACAGGTCAAACTTTCCAGAATTTGATGCAGACAGTCTTGCCGTGAGATGCTGTGAGAGCGTTTTAGACAAGAGTTCGACCCTATCAACATCGCACCGTGCGAGCTTTTGTGGAGCACCACGTCAATATAGAACATCGGCGTGCCTTCTACTGATCATGCACTCGTTGGGTTGAAGTTCAAGGGCTTTACAATGCACAAATTGATTGCTCCCTCCCCTTCCACATCCTCCCTGCAGTTTGAAGGATGCAAACATCACCCTCATCTTCACAGTAACAACGACCACGAGAGCCACAGCAAAGAGCGGACGCGACGACCCCGGAACCTTTCGGCATGTCCCGATGTTCTCCTCCCTCTGACGTGACCTTCAGGTGACGTGACCTCTTGAGTAGACGGTACCTGTTTCCACTTAATACGTCATACGTCTTCCGAAAGGAACCAACACCAAAGGCTGGCGGGGAAAACAACCAACATCGCGTGACCCACCTTGACACCGGCCGTCTCCTCGTCTCCGCCTCGAAATCCGTCCGGCCTGCTTGGCGGGATCGGCATCGAAATGCAGGAGCGCATGGACCAACTCCAAGGATCCTGACGGCGCCGGCGGTTTGCCGGAGCGGGAGTGGTCCCAAAACACCGGCGCAGGTGGTCCCAGGGATCCCAAACACCACGCCGTGGCTCGACCCTGTGGCAATTAGCAATCAATTGACTCCATAAGGTGTTGTGGCATGTTGTGTCCGTCGTTTGGCTCCCGAGGTGTGTCACACCAAGCGGCACTTCCGGCGCCTGCCCAAGATGCCCAAGATGCCAGTTTGTCCCTACCAGGTCTCTGGCTCTCCAGAACTGCAGATCTGATCTTCTGAGTCTTCGAAGGATCCCATTCTTCCCGTTTGGCGGTCGAGGAAGGCTTCGGGCAAAAGACTGCTAGATCCTCCCACTTTGTGAACATCGACAGCAGTTGGATGTGCTTGCTTGGGCAGAGTAGCTTGCTCCTTTCAACAGTCAGGAACATCATTTGATTTGACAACCTGTGCTTCACTGCCATGTCCAAATCATTCTGCCGCTGATTCCTGGCACACAAATTGAAGTCCATTCTAATCATGCCAGAGTTGTTTCATCCCCTAGCCCAGCCTAAAGGGGGGGGCCCTCTTCGGAACTGTCGAACACCACCGCTCCACCCCCGCGCCTACGCGTACGGCATCATGTAGCCAAATGGGAGCAGCACCACACGCCATCATCACCAAGGCGGCTGAGACGTTTTGCCTGGCGAGGAAGGCTGCGACGCCGCGACGACGCGTGACGACGCGTGGTTGTTCGCGTGACGCCGCGGAAGACGAGAGTGGCGCGCGCGGCGTTGAAGGTATCTGGCGCATGGAATGGGGTGGTTGTTCAGGTGTGAAAAACATCTGGCTTCAGCCTTCAGCTGCCGATCTCAAGAAATAGGATAGATTGGACATGATTAGGACGACTTCCATGTGGTCTTCATGCCAGGTGTTTAACTGCATGCCCCTAGGCACCTAGTGTTTTTCTATCACACGCGTTGTATCTCTTCTCGGAGTCCGAGGCACTGCATCACGGCCATCCGCAAGGGCGGAAAGGACTTGGAGTCCCGTTTGCCCAAGGCTTCGCTGTACAACTGAAGCTCTTCCTCCCGTCGCGCTGAAGCTGCGTTGAAGCGGACGAGAGGTGGAAGCGTTTGAAGTGCGGAACGAAGTGCGGATGGGACGGGGGACGGTTGCACTCGCGCATTCCATTGACCAGCGCATTCCACCCGAGCTTTCCAGGGGAAGAGGAAGTGGATGAACTCAAATGCACCAGCTGGGGAGATATAAGGAGTCAGAGATAAGGAGTCTCGCAGCGACTCGCAGTCGTGGTGGTTTTCTCGATGATGGGCATCTGAGACCAACAAAAGATTTCGTGTCACCCCGAATCTTTCACACGTGTTTGAGCCCGAATTGCATGTGTGCTCCCTGTGCTCTCTGTTTGGTGGGAGACTGGACCAAACATGACAAAACTATAGATTCCATGCACGCTTAAATCAATCCTGTCTGCTAACTTCAATCAAAATTGTTCAAACGGTGCTTTAAAGAATAAATATAGAATATACAAATCAAACCAAAACAAAAACAAAACTTAAACACCCACAAAACACTCCCTTCAGTGGAAAAAAAGAAACATGCCATGGCTCTATAGCATGGCCTTGTAGTTATGTCCGATGGCATTCCTGGCCGAGCCGGTTTTCACCGGTCTTCTCGCTCCTCTGGTCCAAGCTCGCTGAATTCCTTGAGGCTCTCGTTGTAGGTGAAGCTCGCTCGACGCTTCCTCGGTCGCACACGCGCGGCGTGGCACCGGAAGACGAGGGACGAGTGACGTGGACCAACTGGGAAGAGTGCAGAGCGCCTGTTGATGTGCATGTCGAAGGCTATGCAGGTTGTATGGCTGTTGTCCATATGTTGTCCATGGTATATGGTTTTATGTAAGACCGCCATTCTCTCGCGGCCGCTCTTTGGTCGTCCGTGGAAACCGGACTGAGAGCAGTTGCCTTTCTTGCGGTGCATGGCCACCGGACATGCCGTATACATGCCCTACTACCGTTGATTTCACGACAAAGAACCCAAAAACCCATTCAGCTGCCAGGCCGAATTCCTTCGCCGTTCCCTTCACCGTGTTCCATCGACCCACCATGTCGAGGCGCGAAGGGATGGATTGCTGTGGAGCGGCCCTTCAGACCGGAGCGAACGACACGAACGAAGGACACAAACGGAGCGGGCCAGTGGCGGGGCATCGACGGCGCGTAGAATGGACCAATAAGAATGGGGGTCACCTGGCTGGAAGCCCCAGCCCACTACCTGGGGATCTCCAGACAGGACACCCCTTTGAAGGTCCAGGCAAGTGCTTTTATTCTGAGCTTCATTAGTTTCAACGATAGAAGCGAGAAGGCCGCCGAGAAAAAATGGTCGCTTCGTACGGCAAGAACTTGGCTACTTGGCTAAGAGAGAATGAAGGTGAATGAAGTGTCCAAATTCATCATTCATCCATGGAGATGACATCCACAAGACTTGTCAAGACGTGCTGAGACCTTCCATAAGGCACGTGCCTTTTTGCCAATTGCTCTTGAACCAATGCCACCAGGAGTAGTTCCACCAAATAGGAACTTCGATCTTCCTTGCGTTGGTTCACGCTCGCGGGAGCGTGAACCGCGAATTCCGCTACAATGTGTGGGACAAACAAGGTGGGGCATCAAAGCGAGGTTTATTTGTTTTGATCTGTTCTGCTGATGATTTCTGCCTGCCTCTTGAACCTCCGTTGGTGACTTTGTCCTTCCTGCTTCGTGGGCAGGACAGCTACAAAACTTTGTGCAGGATTGTAAAGGAACACATTCTTCCATGCAAGCTATATACATCTGCAAAAGATTGTGAAAACATCCAATGAACAGATCAACAAACCAAGGCTCGTCATCTGTGAGCGGCGCTCGAGGACTATAGCATGTGAGTGGTTCTGCCTGAAGGCAGCAGGAACTTTTTTCGACCCTCTTCTCTCCTTGCGTCTTAAATTCTAGACACGAGACAGCTATTTCAACACCGATGACAGCCACGCAGGTGATCCTGCAAGTCCTCCCCTTTTGCTCCACCGGATTTCCATGCCTTTCCATGCCTTTCCTCCTTTCGACACCTGACTGCGATCAATTTTCTGCCGCGACCCCAAGAAAAGCGCCTCTTCTCGAAGAGCTGCAGCCCAGTTCAAACAGTTGTGTCCACTGGTGTCGCACGGTTGAACCCGCGCGCCGTGACTTAGAAGCCTCGAGTCGAGACGCAGGTGATGCTCGGGTCCATCACAGCAAATGGTTATAGTTATTGAGAAGATTACTGTGATGGACCAGTAATATGGTTAGTTATCTCCTTCTGTATCTCCTTCTGTATAGTTATTGAGAAGATTACAGAAGGGGTGGCCCATGACCACCCGCTCTCAAAGATTCATCGCACTATACTAATACACATCTCTACGCTATCTAGAAGTTACCGCACTCGACTTCTGTGGCACTCCATGATCAAACAGTACAACATGTGATGGCCACCACAAAACACATCCGGAATTCCGATGATGCGACCATGCACAACTCGTGACTGCAAAATAAACAAAGAACAAGTCGACTGTGCTTGGTTGAAACCCGGTCGTCCAAGAAGCAGCTTCACCACTTCCACATTCTTCTGCCGACAGGCACACCTCAACTGGTCTTAGCTGTTGAGTCCATGCTTTTCCATCAAACCTGGATACCCAACGAACGCACCCCCACCGAACAAACAAGAATATCGTGGATGGAGAATTATGGAACCCCATCAAAAAGGCATGTAGATGAAACCGCTGTACGGGGCGGTGCCATATGTTGGTGGTGGTTGATATGTTTTGCATAGGTGTTGGTGAAACCGCTGCAGGGTGCACCTGATCGGTGGGAGAGGAGGTGCACCTCTAAGGCAGTGTCAGGTTGGATCTGGAGACGATTTCTTGGAAAAGCGAAGCTGCCATGCGTAGCAAGTGTACAGTCTATAGACGGAGACCATAAGAAAGGTTCTTCCATGCAACGTTCAAACTCCAAACCTGATACCCATGCAGGAAGAAATTAGGTGTCAAACATCTGCGGTATTCTGAACCAATTAACAAACACAAATCACAAATCCCTTAAAATCTTAACCTGCACTTATTCTCCTCGTCAAATACCAGGCCCCTTCACAAAGTTCACCTCCCACTCGCTCCATCCCCCCTCCCATCTCTTCCACACCCCTCTCACGCCCACCTCGCGCCTGGATTACGCGCAAACGCCATCCGCGGGCACCGATCGAACGCCGGTGCCGACCGCTCGAACGCCGTCCTTCCGCCTGCCGCCCGGTGACATCAGCGGCGTCAAGCCGCGGGAGTCACGCGGGTTGATGTTGGCCGTCGCCTCGAGGAGCAGCTGGATGATCTGGATCTGTCCACTCGAGTCCGCCACAGGCAGGTCACACACCTCAAGTCGAAACGAAGCACCGGTACTGAGGTGTGGGACTGAGGTGTCCGGTGAAAGAACTGAAGTACTTCGGTTCAAACCTTCTGCAGTGCCTTTCAAGCCATGTGTTTTGTCCTTTTTCTTCGTTGGGTGTCTGGTAAAGCCTTTGGAACGCTGTGACAAGCATGGTGGTTCTTAATCAACAAATTGAAGACCATTTCGCATGAATGGTGCAACCACTTCTGCGTCTTCAGGCTGCTTCCTCGATGAAAAGATGTGCAAAGTATAGAATGCCAAATAAGCAAAAGGCAAAGCCGAAGGGTGCAACGCTAGACTCACCCACCTCAAGGAGGAAGCCCTACGAAAGGCGTTTTATTCAGATAGAGGTTCTCTCCCGGTATTTTTGGACGAGAGGATATCGAAAAAAACCCACACCCACATCGATGCAATCCAGAGGCAGCATGCAGAAGGGTTGAGAAGTGCACGGAGCCCTTGTGTTCCTGGAAAGGCACGGCGCCCTGGTGTGATCACCAGCGCGCTTAAGGCAGCACCAGCAACTCAACAATAGCGACACTTGCGGTCTCATGTCTGACACAGCCTTAGGGCAGTGAAACAACTCAACATAACTCAACAAAAAACTTTTGAAATTGCACAACTGCACTGCCAAATCTAGAGATTCTAGATGAAAAAAGGATGTAAACTCCCAAGAATCAGAGAAATCCCTTGGCAGGATCCAACCTGAACTCGAGTTCAGAGAATCTCCCAAACTCCCAATTCCGACCACATCCGCCTCTCGCAAGGCCATATTCACAGAGACGCCCGTCTCAATCAGCTGCCGCGCATGCGCATGCTCCATCTTCAGAACACTCTTCACCAACGCGGCAAAGTCCCGACCTCGTGGCGCGCTGCAGTCGCGCTGCGTGCGTTCCGCAGTCGTCTCGAGACGGGTTGGCCTCGGTGGGTCTCGACCGGTTGGTCTATATAAGACAATATATTGGTATAAATAATGGTACAATGATACATGTATATCATCCCCAGACCCCAAAACATCCAAAAACTGCTATAACTTTGTGAAGTCAGACTATAGGTAGACATCGAACCCGGCCTCACATCGTTTTTACCACTTGTGCTGGTCAATATACATGCGCAAGGGATCCTATGCTGGGCCAAATATTGCCTGCATCGCTTCACTAAGCGTGAAGTTGTTGGATTCGCCATACTTAGGGCTCGAGTCGAGACTCTTCGACGGCTTGGCGAACGAACGGCTTGGCGTCATGAAGGGGTACAGTATGACCCAGCAATGGATGAAGGGGTCGTACAGCAAGCCCATCTATAAGGGATTATTGTGACATATGGTCAGCCTATTATAGAAAAGCAAAGGATTATTGTGACAGCCTATTGATGCCTATGGTCACTCTTCCTTGGTAGGCTGACTTTGGACAAGGCTTTGATATAGAACGTCCCAAGCAGCGAAAGGTGGTGAACCTCGGTGAAGCTCCGAGTGACCAAGCCAGCGGACCAATGAGGAAATCCGACCAATCAAGTTATCATCACTGTATTTCCATGTATTTCCTGTAGATGATTGGAGGATTTCCCGATGT